TCATGTGGATTCAATATTGTTTAAACAGAATCCCTTTGGTCTTGAGTGAAGGCATACTATAAATCATATTCTTCGGGAGAAGAACATCTGAGTCTTGTTTACTCAAGTGAGCGTTATGTAGCCCATGGGCTTCTTGTTTTATATATAACTTTTGTAGTATTACTTCAGTATGTTCAATCTCATAGGCTTTGGAATTATTTATTTGCTGAAATGCTTCCAATCTTAAAAAGAGTTTTATTTCTTCGGCCGCGAACTTACTGGTCTAAAAGATTGCAAAATATCATAGTTATCAGTTGGCCAACGACAAAATGTTTGGTAATCTGGATGAACCCTCCGATCATATTCACATGGGTCACTGCAGCATTCCCCTCCTTTATTTACTCCATCGCCTACAGAAAAGAAAATACATGTAGTCATATAAAAAATCTGAATATATCCTTCATTAAATTGAAATATTAAAATAAAAATCATTGGGTTGTTGAAACATACCTAACGAAAATTGACTTAGTTGACTATTTTTTTTTATTTTATTACAGTACTATAGTAAATACTTTAATGTTTTGTTTTACAATGAAACATTACTCTAGAATAATTTTTAAACGTACATATTTGTATATTTGTTAATTTTTCTTACAATAATATTTATTTGTAAAATAAAATGTGGATTTTCATTTTATATATTTTCTTTAATTTCATAGGCATGTACAAATTGCACGAAATGAAATATAACAATTTGAAATTCAAAGTAAAAAAAATATTACGATTAACTATAATTGTTAACCCACCATTTACGTTTCATTACATAAACTTTTAAATTATAGTAAACTATATTTTATTTACTACAATGGTATTTTTGTTATGAATTCAATATAAATAAATATATATATATATATATATATATATATATATATATATATATATATATATATATATATATATATATATATATATATATATATATATATATATATATATATATATATATATATATATATATATATATATATATAACTCTGATATAAGGACTAGGGAGACCAGACCATTATATATGGCTTAAGGGGACAATATACAGATTTTTTAAATTTGCTTTTTTCTAAAAAGAAATACCAGATCAAAGATCTATAGAACACCATTTAGTCGACTCTTGCTTTATTTTTTCATAATAAATGCCTCCTAAAAATATATGAAAAAAATGGTCTCCTTAATATTTTATGTTTCTCTCATATGACTTAAGGAGACCAGTGTATATTTTTTGTAAATATAACTTGTGGTTTAAGTAGACCATTTTTCTTTCATAGTAATTTCACTTATTATGCATTAATTAACATATTGTTTCCAACCAGAATAGTTGCGGATGGTCATTAGTCAAGGTCAGCAGAAAGATATTTGTGCTAATGTGACTCAACATGATCAGTACAAAACTTTGAATTAAACTAAAGTCATTGCACAAGTGACTTAAATAGAGAGTAGTTGCCCCAGTGGCGCAGTGGTTAGAGCGTCTGCTCTAGAGTAGCGAAGTAAGGAGTTGATCCTTACGTCGCAGGTTCAAATCCCACTGTGGGATGGGGAGACCGGTCCTTCAGATGAGACCGTATAAATCGAGGTCCTGTGTCGCAGTAGGTGCTGGCACGAAAAAAATCCCTCGATGATCAATGGCCGTAAGTTCCGAGTATAGCACAAAATTTGCAGATCTCCACTGGCATGTGGTGGTGTCTCCATATGAGTGAAAAAATCTTGAGAGGAATGTTAAACAACATACAATCAATCAATATATAGAGAGTATAAGCCCAGAGTAGCTTGTTCTGATATCCACATTTAACTCTTAATGCTGTCGCCCACATGGTGCAGTGGAAAGAGCCTATGCTCTAGAGTCGTGGAGTTAGTTGATCCTTTTGTCACATGTTTGAATCCCACTGTGGGACGTAGAGACCAGTCCTTCGTACAAACAGAGGTCCAGTGTCGCAGTAGATGCTGGCATGAAAAAAATCCCTCACTGCCCATTGGCCCTGAGTGCCGAGCATAGGTCATTTGCAGCTCTCCATCGGCAAGTGTTGGCATCTCCATATGAGTGAAAAATTCTCCAGAGGGACGTTAAACAACAAACAAACTCTCAATGCCCAAAACAGTTTAACCTAAAAGTGAATGCAGACACAGATTATTCTTTAGACCAAGTATAGTATACTCCAAATTGTTTTGTTGAGGACACAAAGTTCACAGTGGACATCAAGTAGTTTTTCCTGCTATTTATACCCAGCTTCTTTTAAACCATATAGTCACCGAGTGGATTCGCTTTCCAACTAATTGATGAAGTTCTGACCTATGCCTATATTTGTTTAAATTTTTTCTGATTTAAGAATACATTTGACCAGTTGAAACCAAGAGTACATGTACTACATAAAATTTCAAGGTTGTGATTAAGATTCAGTAAAAGTTATGCCCCATCCAGTATAGCAATATGTGGATGCCATGTTCAATATACCCGGTACATATTTGCTATCATTAAACTTGCAGAGACCATGAATCAAAATAATTCAAATACTTAAAAATCATTTTATTTTTACTGCTAGTCAAAATACAGTCACTCAAGCATATCCTATGTTAATTTGAAAAAAAAAATGATAGTTTAACATTTATTATTAATACCATACCAAAGCACAAGATAGTGCACTTCTTACATAATCCAATGATTCATGCTGTGATTTTACCTATTTAGATGTTTCTTATTTACAGTTCAGTATACATGATATACTAGTACAATGTGACACTAACCTAGTATCAATTAAATGGATCATTACTATTCTGTTTTTAAGAAGTTTGCAGGGTAAAAAGTATAATAAAATAAAAATGTTGATACATTTATTGATTGCATATGCTAAAACCTTTTATAAAATATCAAACATTGTATCATAACAGCTTTTACAAATTAATTCAATACATTCAAAGGTACAAAAATCAAATTATTTTCATCCACAGTTTTATCATATTCAGTTGAACAACAGCTACATCTATTATATAAAATGTATGGTAGTTGGCACTGATGGTATATATACAGACCTGCCTACCCTTTTCATTGCGAGGGTGTAATTTCAAGACTCAATTAAGTGGAATTTATGAGGTAAAGGCGTAATCCTTTATGTTTCCCTACTTTGATGTTTTGCAAAGCTACTATATTGTCTGAATCAACCTGAAATTGTACATCATTGAACAAAGCAAGCATGAATGTTTCTTTTTCAAATCATTTATAGACAAAAAGTCCCTTTGTTGTAAAAACTGGTATCGTAATTGCAGTCAAATCAAACTTATTTATCTAACATTCCTAATGAACGTTTGGAAAAAAAATTAGCAAATCACATAATTCAGAGTTTCAATCGCATATTAATACAAATTCTACATTATTCCGCTATTTCGAGTTTGTTTTTCTTACATTTACTTGTCTCTATGTTGTTCTTAGCAATGTAAGAATAAACCGAATTGAAAATTAAACTGACTTTACTTATTGCAAACATCATTCAAAAGTTTTGTTTCCTTAATTTTGGCATGCAACCCGTTTAAAAGGCATAACTACAACGTGTATTACGTTTGTTGTTTGTGTCATAAATAATCATATCGTGAAGAACCGAAACCCTCCATTAATTAGTATTAATTACCTTCTCGTTTTCATTAAGGAAAGCCTTTACTTCAACTCCAAAGTTAGCCTTTCATTAAGTTGTTTATGAAAAAATATTTAAAAAGCGTAAAATTAGTTTTCATGGCGTAACAGCGTTATTTTGTGGTAAAAAGCGGAAAAATTACGCCAAAAGCGGAAGGGTAGGCAGGTCTGTATATATCCTGAGCAAAGAAAAAACATACCTAATCAAAGAATACAAAGCTCACTTCTATAAATGTTATCTACTAGTAAGGCAAAGTCTCACTTAACAAACACTCTGGTAATGTATATCACCTGGATCCAAAATCTATGCAAGTTGGTCTGGGTTAGATTTAACTGCTCAATAACCCTGAAAATGTATGTTACATCCAGCATCAGAAGCAGGATACATCATCTATGTTTACTGATCACCAAAGAGTATATTGTTTCTTTGAATGAACCTTCTCTAAAAAACTGGTCATTAATCCAGAATATCTAAGTCAAATCAAGGATTGGTACCCTGAAACATTTACATGTACATACATCATCTTTGCAGGTTTGTTCAACATAGAGTTTATTATTACATGAGAATAGGACTGCTCAAAACACTTAATCTTGTGGAGTCCCCCATGTGGCGCAAAGGATAGAGTTTGTAATCTAGAGTCGCGAGTAAGGATTTAATCCTTAAGTCTCAGGTTCAAATCCACTGGGGATGTGGGGACCAGTCCTTCAGATTAGACCATATAAACCGAGGTCCCGCCTAGCAGTTGATGTGGGCATAAAAAAGATCCCTTACTGCTCAAGGCCCTTATTGCAAAGTATAGGTCAAATTTTGCAGCTCTCCACCAGCAAGTAGTGGCATCTCCATATGGATGAAAAATTCTTGAGAGGGATGTTAAACAACAAACAAACAAAAAATGTAGATCAGGTCAAGCATCTGAAGTAAATCTGTTAATGTGCTTTAATCCATGCAAGTTTGTCCAGGTAGAGCTTAGGAATGAACCTTGCTCCTTAAATTTTAACTGGGATGACAATGCTAGGTATATAGTGAGAACTCATCTAGACTGTCCAGAAAATCTAAAAAATATTTAGCAATTTATTACTTGCATGATTTAAAAAAATCTGCAATCTAACATTATTTCAAAAAAAATTTCAACACATTTTCTAATTTTCAACAAATTCAATGCACTATGAGACGATTTAACATTTCTTAACCACATACACTGTACTTAAAGTGCAATATACATGCATTATACTGTATGTTAAATCTTTACAGTTTTCTTCAAGTACTCTAATAGTATATGAAATATGAAGATTACCAACAGTGATCAAGCTTTAAAGTCCATTGAAACAATACATAATTAGAGTAGAGCAAACAGACTCTAAAAACACCAGGTGCAATGGAGGAGAAAGCATTTCCTGCCATGTGCTCCTTGACATGATTGGGCAAATGGAAAAATCCACAAACAATTCAGTGTAAACAATTTTGATGAAAAACATTAGTCAACATTCAACTTAATGATCGATTGAATTTGCTATAACAATTAATTTACACGTAAGTGTACACACATGTATGCATACTAGATGAATTATTTCACAATATCCAAAACTGGACAATAATAGTTTCTAATCTAGCTAGACAACAGGAAATTTTCATTATTACTTAAATTACATGAAACTATTGAAGTCTATGAGATACAAATTATATCTAAAAATTATACACATTTTAACAAGTGTTTACAGTTTAGTGTATTTATTATACACAAATGATGACTTAGTAATTATGACTTACTAGTAAAGTCCACAGATTGACTTCCAGATTTCAGCTCAAAGGCTTGAAGATTTTTAGTGGCTCTTTCATCATTTTTTTTTTTCACTGAATATTTTCATTTTTATTTTCAAGACGCTGTTTTTGTTGAGGTCTTTTAGCAGTTTGATGCAATCCAAGAACTCCAAGGGCAATTTAAGAACTCCTGAATTTCTTTCTTACCTGGAAAAAATAAAAATTTAAAAGTTTAAAATATATTCAACTTACATGAAGAAAACTAGTAAAACTAGTGATAATGTAATAGACCTTTCAGATGTTCCAAAGCAGCTACATGTATCTAATTAAAAAATATAAAGTTTGAAGTATTTAGAGTCACCTGTATTCTGAACAAGCATATAGGGATATGTGTATTTGACAGACAGATGAATGAATAGACTGATCACTATAGAGCACCTTAGTCTTTTTTCAATAATCTTTATATTAGTGAAAATCAAATAGGAACTAGAGTGTTTCAAGGAATGTATATGTCACCTGCTAGGTATCGTCATTAAAGAGGTAAATAAATCTAAGAGTGGTCAGCTATTAATTTAATATTAGCATGGAGGTTCAAGCATTTGCCTGCAAGGAAAAAAAGGACCCAAAAGTATTTCAAAGACTGGGATAGAATCTGGCAATCAGAGAAAATATGGTTCCCCAGTCCTCAAATGAATAATTTAATTAAAATTATGAGGAATAACTATTTATCATTTTATTAATACACATGTAGGTGCTTCCAACAATCCTCGGAGGAAAGGAATTTCAGACTGTCTTTACTTTAATTGTCACTTTGTCAGTCAACACGATTCATTGTGGAATACTGATCCCAATGTATTTTCATAGTATTTAAATATAAGTTTGTGTGGTAACTGAATTTCATACAGTTTCAAAGTATAGTATCATGAGCTCAAAAACATATATAAATGCTAATTATCAAAACCCTGCCTCTCGAAATTTTGGAGATATAAGGTGTGACAGACGGACAGACAGACACCAGGTAAAGTGATCTCTAAGTGTCGTTCTGCTCTGCAGTTGACACAAAAATGAAAGTCAATTTTTGACCATGTATATCACTTCAGTGATGAAAGGAATGCTGAAGTGGTAAGTCTATCCTAATTATTTGAAAAAACGGCAACCCCATTGGTCAGAATATAATACATATGCTGTCCAGCCTTAATTTCATTGGCATAAGCAGCACAAAATACGATTTAATTGGATGGTGCAACTTGTTTTTCTAGGGGGCGCTGTTGCAACCCTGGAAAAGAAAACAGGACTGGGGCTTGCCCCTAGGGGGCACTTACTGACCGGAAGTAAACAAACAACAGAAATAGCAATACACTAGAAATATGTCCATAGGACATGTATGCCCGCCGAGTGTATAGTAATGCAACATGAAATTTTGTGTTAGTGTATGAAGTTTGATGAGAATATCTTGAAAAGTTTCTTTAAAATTGAAATTGAGATCTAAAAAAAATGGATATAAATGATAAATTCTCACTAAATTATGTATAGATGCATAGCCTTAGATATCAATATTTTAAATGGTTTTAAAACCATGCAAAATGCAAATTGAAGGAAAGTGAGGTCAAGGTCACATGAAAGGTCAAAAGTTTTTGAAATAGTTGAATAGGTCTGACTAATTATATATGTATCAGCATATTAAGTTTGATAAAGAATATCTTGAATGATTTCTTTAAAACTGAGCTAGTCACAAGCGTGGCGCCATGGTTAGAGCGTCTGCTCTAGAGTCGCGAAGTAAGGAGTTGATCCTTATGCCGCAGGTTTGAATCCCACTGTGGGACATGGAGACCAGTCCTTCGGATGAGACCTTATAAACCAAGGTCCCATGTCACAGTAGGTGCTGGCATGAAAAAGACCCCTCACTGCTCAATGGCCATGAGTGCAGAGTATAGGACAGAATTTGCAGCTTTCCACTGGCAAGTGGTGGCGTCTCCATATGAGTGTAAAATTCTCAAGAGGGACTGCAGATTACCTGTAATGATTGACCAAAATCCCTACTAGGCTTTAAACTCTTCATTCTTGACCTGTATTTCGTCAAATAAGATTTTTCCAGTTAATTAAGGTAAAATTACTAATTGTTAAAACTGTAAATGATTTTTTTTTTTTTTTTTTTTTTTTTTTTTACCTGAGCCAGATTTTTACTTTTCTTAGAAGTGTCTGTATTTGACTGTTGGTTCCACCTATCTCAAGAAAATGATCTGTAAAAGTAAATGTTAGAAATCATAATCTGTTCTCTATCTACTATAATCATGAGAAAAGGTGTTGAAAATTAACAGATGGAGATAAAATCAGCAGTCATATTAAAGGCTTTTTTTCAATAATCAATTTATTAGTGAAAATCATAAAAGTATTAGGCAAAAAGGAAAAATAAATGTTGTCATTAATTAACCTTGCATATCTCTACAATTTTCTGATAAGAAAATTATACCCGATAGATGCAATATAATCACCCTTTGCCTGCCCCTAAATTATGATTATTTAAAACAAGGTTCTTTTAGATGTGCCTACGGTCGAAATTCATAGAAAAAAACCTACAAAAAACGTGAAAACATATTTCTATCATACTGGTTTATATTTATTACAAATGTCCTCATAGTCAGCATAGCCCAGAACAATAGACCGCAGACTCTCACCATGAACATTTTTAGTGTCCTGGTTCGAAACCATTTGTTGGCACATTTTTATTTTTTCAAACTTTTTACCTGTATAAACACTAAAGAACGAGTGCACTTATGGGCCCCGGTAAATTAAATTAAGCATAATTTTCCATCTCAGATCATTAATTGATATCTAAACCATAAGATTCAACAAATTTTGAATATACAAAGAGCAAAGCCATACAATGTGGTAGGGGTCAGCCGACATTCGTGATTTTCTATAGTAAATCGAGGACGGTCATTCATTTCAAAGCTTTTGTTTATTGTCAGCCTAACACTGTACAAACTTGTGCGATTGACAAAAAATGCATCATACATTTATAAAACTTGTGTGAAAGTAGGAAATTTGTACATGATTAGGCTTGTACTTAAAATATTAAAAATGTATGAAAAGTTCAATGTTTTTCCTATAACAAGCAAGAGCTATTTACCTGTATGACCTATGTTGAACCCACCCGTGGAATAAATTATTTAAAATACTGGTAGTCACGTGAGTTCTACCCCGGTAAACATTCCTCAAAGATGCTCACTGTAAAACATAACCACGTTTTGTATCATTATATCGAAGTCAAGCCGCATAGAGAAGTTTGTATGTATTTGGTTTTAGGAACACGGGATGGTTAGGAGAGTTTAGTGTCGTTAAAATGTCATCATAAATAAAAGTGTCAACCATTTTAACATTCATGCAAGACAATGGTACTGGTATTGAAAGCCACCTAAATACACTTTTTTTCATTTTAAAATTTAAAGGAACTAATGTTAATACTTATTGTATTATTTCAAATGCAAGCATGCAAATTTCTTAGTTTGATCACTATGGATACAGGTATCTATACAACTTCATTCGATTTTTTTCTCGGGTAAAATAGCACAAGAAGTATCATTCGGCATACGCGCCTGTCAATGATCCACCATCAGATTGTTCAAGTGTCTGATTTAAATGTCTCCTCCCCTTGATTTAAATAAACGAAACTCAAAATAGGTTCGGTACGACTTTTCCGGATTTGGGGTATCTATAGACATTTAAAAAACTTCATTTGTTTCAAATCCATGCTGATTTAGGTGATGTTTTAATGTGATTTTAATTAGAAATGTCCACTTGTGTTTAACTATTACCAAAAGAGAACAATTTGGTAATACATTCTAAAGTAATATGGCACTGAAAAAGGACCCATTAAGCATTGCTTAAGTGCACTTGTCCTTTGATTTTTTAATACAGGCTTTTGCATTTTACTTAATATATTTTCTTCCTTAAATGCATGTTTGGTGTTGATATAAAAGACATCTATGGAAATGCAGATCATAAATTCTCTTTAACTAAACGCAATCAACCGGAACTAAACCTCATTGTAAGCACACTTTGTTCGAGGACATGAATCATTCACTTTGTGTTACTCGATACTGCAGGTGTCATGAAAAAAAATCATGCCGAGCAATAATTGCTGTGTTTGCCTTTCAAGAACATAATGACATGTAATAGTGCTGTTGTGCCAGTGGGAGAGATACTGTTCTATGCAGAGTAGATGCAGTTCATTCCTCGGGAAAAATGTGTGCATTGGCGATATGTTATGCTAAAAATGCATGAGGGTTTTCAGATTAGAAAAGAATGTGGTAAGGTCAGTTAAGGTTTTATGTCCCATTGCCATTACTCAGTCAGACATCAAGAATGACCCTCAAACAAAGGATGTATCATTCTGTAAATACTGAGGTAGGATCACATGAACACACAGTTGAGTAGAATGAAATATATCGAGATAACAATCAGTATTCAAGCTCAAAAGCCCATCAAAAAATACAAAATAGGAGCAGAGCAAATACGGACCTCCAAAACATCAGAGGTGGGATCAGGTGCCATGGAGGAGTGAGCATCCCCTGCAGACTAGTCACACCCGCTGTGTGCTCCTTGTCACGACTGGGAAACAATAGAAAATTCCATACACAATTCAGTGTGTAAATAATGGCCTAACAATAAGTATGAAAAACGTCAGTCAGCATTTTACTTAATGATAAACTGTATTTGCTGACAAGGTCATTGTATCGACCATAGAACTTGCAAAATGATGACTTTAAACAAGTCTGCTGATATTCTTGTTTCAGCAATTTGTTTGTCAATAACTTACCTCCTTTTAAAAATTGTTCATACATAGCAGATGCTCTTGCGTATCGAATCAACTGAGAGATATAAACCCCGTATGCAGGTGATGAAGGTATATTGCTGAATAAGTAAGGGAAGTTGATGATTGAAAAGTTAAAGTCATCACGTTTATCATAAAGCTTGGTTGTTAGATTACCATTAATGTAGAACTAAAGCAATACATGAGAAACAAGAAACTACACACGTGACCTAAAGTCAGTGACCGGAACATATATCGGTAAGCTTTTTCTAAAGACTGAACCAATATTGGTCCTATAGGTCATCTCATATTTTTAACTAGAAGTGTTCCTTTGATATACTATATTTTATTTAATTTCTATAGACTTACTATACCCTGAAAAAAAAAGGAAAACAAGAACTACCTGTTTAAATGACCCCGACCACCGAGGTTAATCTAAAGTTTGTCCCTGCCTACCTGAAAAACGGACTGCCTCGGGCAGTCAGTAATTTCCAACTCTGGTTATGAGATGCTAAATGTTAAATATTTACAATTAAATGCTTATATTTACATTTTTAAATTCATCATAGATTGAGAAAGTCGATAAAATCATTTCTATATTAAGTCTGTATACTGTATAGGAGGAAAATAACTCGCGGTGTTAATATTCGCTATATTCACGGTGTGAATAAATCCGTGAATTCAAGAAACAGTGAATAAGTTTTCAATAACCTCCATGTTATATTTGGAAATTTGAGAATAGACTACGATAGGTAAATATACGTGCAGTACATGGTCATTTCAGTAATTACGAATCGTACTTGTCATTCAATTATTTTAATTATCACGCTTGACATTAATTTAGATCACCCAGCAGATAATAACCTGTATTTGTAAAAAAAAAACAACTGTTTTAATAGCCAACGCTACATGTTTCATCAATCAAAACACTAGGGTCATGGGTTTTGAATACCCGTACGTAACTATGTTACGACGTGTATTTGTTACCTGCATTATCATGTTTTTGTCGACATTTTGGTTTTATAAAATCATTCAATTAACTATCGAACTTGCTGATGTATATATAAATCTACCCTGTTGTTCGTGAAGTGAATACATAACGCTGATTAATGCCTTCTAGCTATGCTATGGATTACCGTAAGTTTTGGAAGATAAGACGATACTTTTTTTCTCAGAACCGCTGGGGTCGTCCTATTTAACGAATCGTCCTATCTAAGGCTCAAGTTTACGAAAAATGCCCCCAAATCAGTAAAATTAACGTCAATTTTAAAGGAAATCTGTGCCATTTTCGTATTTTTTAAAATTATTTTCCCGAAAAAAAAATAAACAAAGAATTAATCAATTATTTATTTCATTGATTTCTTACAAAATAAGTTCCATTAAATATCCGTCGATGTACAAAAAACTTATAATATCATCTAGTAAATAATGTCTCAAAGTAGATTTACAAAATGTTGTGTCCATCTTGTGAAGTTGGAAGTCGCAATCGTTTACTAAAAATAAAACCGCAACCGTATCAAAGTTTAAAATACGGAAGAGTTTTTCACAATCGCAATTGTAATCTTTTTTTCTACCATTTATTTGTAACGAATAATTGAAATAGTATACCTAAATTTTTCATTGTCTTGTGATATTTATTTACGAGTAAATGTAAAATGCGTGAAATAAATTGTTGCCAGTAAATTCCTAAAATTATTTACTAAATACACCGCTAGTCATAACTATTTTGTTTTATATCCCAAGGGGTACACTGAATTATACAAAGATTGGCTTCTAATATAATTTTCATCGCCTGACAGATAAATGGATATACACTGTGTACACAAAGGTGTTAACACCTGTGTTGGTTTAAACACCCGAAGGGCATGATTAACAGATCCACGTGCCGTTACAGGGGTATTAATACATCATCGAACAAACAAAACAGTGAAATTCATGATGACTGTTAAATTGCGAATGTACTCTCAATTAAATTTATTTTTTACAACAACATCTCAAGCAAAATTAAAGCATGATAATATGATTAATTTCAATTGCTCACAGTTATATGTAATAGTCAATTGCGTGTTTTAGCAAATCCCTGGACAAGAAATATAAAAATGGCGGTCTTCGAAGTTAATATTGTATGTTGGAATAAAAGAATGTGTTCACGATGTTCTAAAATGGAAATAATTATTGTTTGATTTCGGGTATTTCCCTAATTATAACAGTTGTATACTACCGTATTTATGTGTTTAACGACAGAGTGAAACTACGACGGCATTTAACAGGCAAGTTGGAGAAAATACGTTACATCACAATTCAAGGAAGTTTTAGGTATGTTTGTATAAAACACTATTAAAATGCTGTACTCATAAAAATACCAGTTTATTTTATCAATACGTTAATATCACGGGTTAAGTTAAAGAGGCTTACATGTTCTGATACGTAGTATCTACGTAAGAATCTCTAGAAAATCGATATACAAAGCCTCGTCTTATCTTCTGAGTTCGTCCTATCTAAGGATTTTTTAAAAATTACGGCTGAAAATGAGCCTTTCGACCTATATATCCCATCGACATATACCCCAAAGCTTACGGTAAATGGATATAGACATTGAAGGGAGGTACATGTAACCTTAGTTATATACCAATTCCGCGAATTCAACAAACCGCGATCGTGTCAGAGGAGAGAAAAACATGAAAATTACAACCCCTGAAATTAATCCCCTATACAGTACTTCAACCGAGAAATTAGTTGAAACTGGTTCCAGAAAAAAAGCTGAAAATGTTCAATAGTTTACAGACAATACTTGACACATGATGACTGAACAAGAACAGATAGCAATAAGTAATTTAAATGACTCAGGTGAATTATAACCTGTTCAATCTTAGATCCATCTTTTTTCTAACACGAGGGTTGATCCAAAAGTTCATGGAATTTAATTATTTCTAAAATTTTATTGTGATTTGATGAAAGCAAACAATAGGCATATTTATAATATAGAGTCATTATGCAACAATACTGGAAAATTTCACTACGTTCCAATTACCAATAAGGTCACATGAGCTTTCTGAACACTGATAGTTGTAAAATCCGGGGGAGACTTCGACGTAACGTCAAGTTAAGTATGTCATGTCATGTTATAGGAGCATCTCACCCTCTTGTTCAATTCAACTAAGTAATTCTACAGAATATTCTGCCTTTTTCTCCTTTTTTCTCTCAAGAAAAGCCTGGGTATCCACCAATCGACTTATCTTTATATTACATTCATATTTCAAAAATACTCCCCATCTTTCCATATGATGTTCCAATTCAGTAGCAAAGTCAAGCACAGTACGTCAGCGGTCAACATCCATCAACGCTTAATTTGTCTACGAGAAAAACAGACCCTCCAAAAGCAGCCACACCATGGAAGTTCTATTGTTCTTAAATTTCTCACGCCACTGGAAAATCAGTTGCTAAATGCATTTTTCTCCAGCCTGTATCAGTAGTATACCCCTTTAAGTCAGAGTGTTCCTAAGATTTTAAGAAAACTTATAACTTGACTGAAATGTGACGTTCTCTAACAATTAAAAGATGAACAAGAAATCATCAACTAATAATCTAAATATCAAGTTAAATCAGTAAAACTCTCACATACAGGTATATTAGTGGTCAAGCAATCGTAATTATGACAAAATTCTCATTTTATTTGCCACTTGGCGCAGGTTTTTTCTTATATCACGTATTAAGAATTAAAATGATAATGAACAAGTAAATGTCTCCCCTGCATTTTAAAACATCATTTGCTATGGCAACTGCCATAGAGTTACTATCATTAATATTCAAAATATTTTTTTTATCAAAAAAATTCAACAAGTGTCTATATTCTTATTTGTAATTTTCAACCACTTTCACAAATAAATAAATAAAATAAGAAGAAATTCCATGAACTTTCAGATCAATCCTCGTACATGTCAGTCATTAAATTTATATAATATACAGTATGCATAAGGGAGACCAAATGTATTATTACTGCATTAAGGAGACCAACCACTATCCATATGTAAATCAGTATTCAACCACTTTCACTAATAAAAAAATAAAATACGAAGAAATTCCATGAGCATTTGAATCAACCCTTGTACATGTCAGTCATTAAATTTATATAATATACAGTATGCATAAGGGAGACCAAATGTATTACTGCATTAAGGAGACCAACTACTCTCCACATGTAAATCAGTATTCAATCGCTTTCACTAATAAATAAAAAAAAAATGAAGAAATTAGTGATGAGACATCAGTTAATTTTCATAATCGATCATCGGTTGGAATCAATTACTGCTTCTGATGCGATTTCACCGATTATAATTGGATTTCTTCATAGTTTTGTATACAAAAAGCAGACTATTACAATAATTTTATTTATTTCTTTAACATGAACATATAAAATACATAATATATTATTTTCTTTGTTGTTTTGCTTCTTTTACACTTTCTAGACCTAAAAATATTTACAGTGGACACCCAACATGGCTGCCTAGCGGCAGAAAACGAACTTCAAAAAGTCGTGGGGGGAATTGATCACTCTATATTTAAGGTAAATGTTGACTAAGTTGCATATTTTATATCTCAAATAAAAGACACAATTAATATTTTTTGAATAAAAAGAATCAGCTGATTGATCAAACCAAAGAGCAAACACAGATTTGGCAGAAAAAAAAATTCACCCGGGGGTAAATTGAATGGGTCGGTCGGGTTATTACAGGAAACAAAAATAATTTTTTTTAGGCCCTATATATGCATCTTCGGTTCTTAATCACCTCTGCTTCGTGCTAGTTGGCTAGTATCAGATGCAGATGCCATTTTCTTTTGTTAAGAAGAAATAAATTTTAAACCAGAAATGGATAATTCCGGAATGTATTGTATTAGAAGTATGTTTCTGATGATCGATTATGAAAAACTATAATCGATCATCGGAATCGGTAGCATTTTTTGTCGACAATCGATGTTTTCTGATTATCGGTACAACACTAGAAGAAATTCCACGAACTTTTGGATAAACCCTCGTACATGTCAGTCATTAAATTATATAATATACAGTATGCATAAGGGAGACCAAATGTATTATTACTGCATTAAGGAGACCAACTACTATCCACATGTAAATCAGTATTCAACCACTTTCACTAATAAATAAATAAAATATGAAGAAATTCCATGAACTTTTGGATCAACCCTCGTACATGTCAGTCATTAAATTTATATAATATACAGTATGCATAAGGGAGACCAAATGTATTATTACTGCATTAAGGAGACCAACTACTCTCGATCCACATGTAAATCAGTATTCAAAACTTGAGATTTTAATACCCTAATAATTTACATGTTTAGTTACATGAACTAAATCTATTTACCTTTGTCATAATGCAAGAACTGTTTTACATTCAGCCAACTTTAACATTACACATGCATACAGTGTATGCCATGCATTAGGAAGACCAGATGCATTATTTCAACATTAAAGAAACCAACTACAATGGAACAATTAGACAGTATTCCAAAATGTTCATTCCAATACCATGGTATTTTCCCTTAATTTGTTTGTATTTAGATGACTTAAATCAATTTATCTCAGCCAGAATTGGAACAAAAAAACTAATCATAAAAGTGGCAAAACACATGAACAGACAGATGGACATGATGATTTCTATGCTTATATACACCCAAAGTTGCCAAAGTAGAGCAGATGCAGTGGTTAGAGCATCTACTCTAGAGTCGCGGAGAAAGAAGCTGATTCTTACATCGCGAGTTTGAATCCCACTGTGGGACATGGAGACCCGTTCTTCAGATGAGACAGAGGTATTAACCGAGGTCCCATGTCACAGTAGGTGCTGGCTCAATAAAGATCCCTCAATGCTCAATGGCCATAAGTGCTGAGTATAGGACAAAAATTTGCAGCTCTCCACCGACAAGTGGTGGCGTCTCCATATGAGTGAAAATTCTCAAGAGGGACGTTAAACAACAAACAAGATTTTGTGATACATGCTTTACAAGTATACATATTGTTCATAAGGGAATAAAAATGCTATAATATATCATTAAGGAAAGCAACTGAACTTAAATGTGCACTTCTAATTGAACTAAACAAAATTACCCTTTGTCAGAATGTAGATTTATAAACAGGAAGGCTGTTTTTCTTAATTTTTTCCATGTCAGATTCAGACTGTTCTTGAAAAAATTCTGGCATACACCCTGTAAAAGTGAACAGTGCAGATAATAAAGAGCTTCTAAATAAACTGCATAATATTTAAATGATCCACTTAAAAGGGATAACAAATGCATTTAACTCCATCAAGGAGACCAACTGATTTCCATATATATATAAATCAGTACATGTATTTTAATTGTGATATTTTAATATCCTAGTAATTTACATGTTTAGTTTCATGAAATAAATCTATTTACCTTTGTCCAATGACCAATGAGCACAAGCACTGATTTTTCCTCTTTTTTCTTAACGGAATCACCAGGGCCAGTCTGCGGTCCATATGATTCTGGCATATGTACACTCTGTAAAATGCATATTTGTACCATGTACAGGCATATGAACAATATTTCTATACTACATACATGCATCATTAAACTTAATAATCTTTTTTTCCCAAAATTCATTAATTATAGTGTTTTGCTGTTAGCAAAATTCAACAAAAACTATACCGTATATATACTTGCCTATAAGGTGGTCCACCTATAAGTCAGTTGTATTTTTTGAGGTTATTTTGGAGGGATTTGCTATTGACCCGCTTATAAATCAGTACAACTTTTTGCCAGAATCAATTGACAATTTCAAATCAATGCTCTGATGTTTTAACCTGGTTTCAAAATACTAATCATTTTATGACTCACCTATAAGCTGGACATAGAGTATATACAGTACCTGCATTATACATGCATTAGGAAGACCAAATGCATTATTGCAATATTAAAGAGACCATTGTGGCAAATGAAATCAATGTATGAATTGTATTCAAAACTACGGGTGTACTAATTTGTCTGAAGTATATCATGATATAATGTGATACACAAAGACTTTAATAGGATATGTACATATACCCACATGCCTAAATGTAACAACAGGAATTATCGTTCTACAATAATTTACTGAAATTGCCAATATGAATAAACAAAAGCAAACTTTGTTTCGATTGTATGAACTTTAAGTTTTCTTTTTACACCACGGTCAGATAATCTAACTATCCCCTGGTTGGCTACTGGGTCCTTCGTTAGATTGCCTTATCGGACATGATATTTACTGAAGATTTGATTTTTGGTACTGACTTTTATACTCAAAATAATGTCTTTAATTGTTTAATTTCTTGAGTTCAATATCACTTTGATGTGTTCAGTGTTTACTTTGATATGTAATGATGTGTATAAGCGTGTATTTTCGATAATTTAAATTTCTAGTACAGTAATCATCCCCAAGCTGCTGTTTCATTATCGTGTCATAGTATCTCTGAGAGTGCATTTTATTAACACCTCCAAATCACCTGGCCCGCGTAATTAAATTTAACTACCAAAAACAACAGCTTGGGACTAATAAGGTGTGATTATCAGCAATGGTCCCATGAAGCCTGTGCTAGACCTAATGGAAACGTTCAACAGACCGTAAAATTAGCATAATGGGATTATTGTGTACTAAGGTGTGAATTCAGCGGAGCGAGAATTTGTTGGACTTCGAGATAACGCATGTGTTTATAGCACTTGGGACCGTAAATCTACTTCGAGATAAGCGAGGTATTCGAGATTTCCGTGTTCGAGATACCGGGTTTTTTTAAAATCATAAATATAATAAAAACGGCCGGGACCGTTGATTCACTTCGAGATATCCGTGGTATTCGACATACCGGTGTTCGAGATACCGAAGTTTACCTGTATATCGATACATATCTAGATTAATGAATATATCGTATCAAAAACAAGAGGCCCATGGGCCACAATGCTCACCTGAGCACATTGGCTAGGAAAAAGCACAAATCACTTCAGTATTGAAAAGTTTAAAGGGGAGGGGGCTTGGATTTTGAACTACCTGAGGATGCTTCCATATCAATATAACAAATGGCTTTACTATTCTTGAGCAGAAGATTTTTTAAGATTTTTTTCCTATATATTCCCTTTTTAAAAATTTGATCCCCCATTGTGGACCCTCCCTAACCCCCCCCCCCCCCCCCAATCATTTGAACAAACTTGAATCTACACTACCTGAGGATGCTTCCATATCAATATGACTAAACATGGCTTTTCTGTTGATGAAAAGATTTTTTTCCTATATATTCCTATGTAAAAATTTGATCCCACATTGTGGCCCCACCCTACCCCTGGGGTTTATGATTTGAACAAACTTGAATCTACACTACCTGAAGATGCTTCCATATCAATATGACAAAACATGGCTTTGCTAATCCTGAGAAGAAGATTTTTCAAGTTTTTTCCCCCTATATATTCTTATGTAAAACTATGATCCCCCATTGTGGCCCCACCCTACCCCCAGGGGTCATGATTTGAAAAAACTTGAATCTACACTACCTGAGAAAGCTTCCATATCAGTATGACAAGACATGACTTTGCTGTTCTTGAGAAGAAGATTTTTGAAGTTTTTTCCTATGTATTCCTATGTAAAACTTTGATCCTCAATTGTGGCACCACCCTAACCCTGGGGGTCATGATTTGAACAAAGTTAAATCTACACTATCTGAGAATGCTTCCATATCAATATGACTTAAGAAGGCTTTGCTGTTCTTGAGAAGAAGATTTTTCAATTTTTTTTCTGTATATTCCTATGTAAAACTTTGATCGCCCCTTGTGGCCCCACCCTACCCCGAGGGGTCATGATTTGATACAAACTTGAATCTTCACTACCTGAGGATGAATCCACATCAATATGACTAATTGTGACTTTGTTGTTCTTGAGAAGAAGATTTTTCAAGATTTTTTTCTACATATTTCTATGTAAAATTTTGATCCACCCATTGTGGCCCCACCCTACCCCTGGGGGTCATGATTTGTACAAAATTTAATCTACACTACCTGAGAATGATTCCATATCAATATGACTAATTGTGGCTTTGTTGTTCTTGAGAGAAAGGTTTTTAAAGATTTTTTTTATATAAATTCCTATGTAAAATATTGATCCCCCATTGTGCCCCCCCCCCTGCCCGGGGGTCATGATTTTGTACAAACTTGAATCTACACTACCTGAGGATGCTTCCATATAAATTATGACTAATTGTGGCTTTGTTGTTTTTAAGAAAAACAATTTCAAGATTTGTCCTACATATTTCTATGTAAAAATTTGATCCCCCATTGTGGCCCCACCCGACCCCTGGGGGTCATGATTTGAACAAACTTGAATCTGCACTATCTGAGGATAATTCCATATCAATATGCCTAATTGTGGCTTTGTTGTTCTTGAGAAAAAGATTTTTAAAGATTTTTTCTATATATTCCTATGTAAAACTTTGATCCCCCCTTGTGGCCCCATCCTACCCCTGGGGGTCATGATTTGAACAAACTTGAATCTACACTACCTGAGGATGATTCCATATCAATATGACTAATCATGGCTTTGTTGTTCTTGAGGAGAAGATTTTTAAAGATTTATTCCTATATATTCCTATGTAAAACTTTGATCCCCCATTGTGGCTCCACCCTACCCCAGGGGGTCATGATTTGAACAAATTTGAATCTACACTATGTAATGAAGGTCTCACCTAAGTTTCAACTTTTACAGCCCAGTGGTTCTTGAGAAGAAGATTTTTAAAAGATACCACTAAATTTTCACTAATTCTTAATTATCTCCCCTTGAAAGAGGATGTGGCCCTTCATTTGAAAAAACTTGAATCCCCTTTACCCAAGGATGCTTTTTGGCAAGTTTGGTTGAAATTGGCCCAGTGGTTCTTGAGAAGAAGATGAAAATGTGAAAAGTTTACAACAACAACAACAATGACAAAGACGACAACGACGACAGACAACGGACAAATTTTGATCAGAAAAGCTCACTTGAGCCTTTGGCTCAGGTGAGCTAAAAATAACTTATGGGCAGGCAGTTTTTTTATGTAATTGTGTAAAAAACTTGGGAATTTCAATCACCAAAGATTATATTTACCGGTAACTGTTTTGAATTAAAACTGATCAAAAATGACATAATCATTAAAGAGGTAGCACATCTTAAATGATTATTACAAAATCATAAAAATACATAGACAACTTTACTTAACATGTTGATTTTACAGTCAAGAAAAGTTTGAATTTGAAGTGTAATTTTTAAAGACGGTGAGACAAAAAATTAAAAAAGAGTAAAAAACAATTATTATTTTTATAAAATTCATGCATAATGATTTATAAGACTTTTTTGACAGAATTGTTAAAGAATTCAATATATTGCATATCACATTAAAAAATGTCTTTCTTTTTTTTTTTTTTTTTGCTCAATACACAGCCCTAGCAAAAATGATATACAACAAGGACTTTGATTGGATTATTAACATTCATACGATTGATCATAATTATTAACTGTTATTGCACTTTCATTTTCAAAATATTGTTAGGTACATTGTTTGTTCACTCTTTTGCATTGATGTTATAATTTATAAAAGAGTATTTTAGCAGAAAAAATTATCAATTTACCTTTCTTGGAATAAAGACATGTTGACCCTTGAGCTGAGATTTTCTCTCTTTCCATAGATTTGTTACACTGGGGTCCACATGATTCTAGCAGAGACCCTGTAAAAAAGGACTTAACTATGGAAAAGCATGAAGAATATATGCCTATTATACATATCTTAAATTCTAATGAAAACAATGTTTATTTAATTAAGATCCATATATTTCTAATGATTGACATAATACAAATTCAAAATAAACTAGTGCTAATTGTAACGGGAACCGTTACAGATGTTCCCCAAACGACTCCCCAATCCCTTATGATGCCCCCCATTCCCTACAAGCTTCATTAAATTAGACAATACTTTAGTAATATAGATGGACATTTTATTTTTAAGGGCATCTCATTGGAAAACTACTCCAATATAGCCATATGGGTATTAGCCAATCAAATTTCAGCGCATGTGCTTGCACATGTTTTCTACATTTTTCACATTAATTTTCTTATAGTGTCTCACAATACATACATTTGTCTTAAATATCAAAGAAATTTCATTGAAAAATAATGTAACCCTTTAAGTATTAGCCAATCAGAATTCAGCATACGCGCATGCATGACTTGCATTCAATTTTGATGGTATCATGATGTAGGAGCTCTATGTGCCTATCCATGTCGTAAATTTCATCCTGTTTTGTTGAAAACCAAGGGAGTTATAGACATTTAAAGTTTCAGCCAATCAGATTGTAGCACACTTGCATGCACGTGTTTTCAAGAAATTTCCTATATAACATGTTGTAGCACCTTATAATATATATTTATATTCTAAATTTCAACGTATTTTGTCAAAAAACAAGGAAGTTATTGAAATTTTTGTATCAGCCAATCAGAGAAGAGCGCACGTGCATGCACGTGAGTTCACGCTAAATTGACCATGTCATCTTGTCTAGACTACTAATATATCTTTATATTTTGAGTTTCAAAGCAATTCATCAAGAAATATCAAAGTTACGGCTTCGTGAAGTATATCAGTCATTTCACTCATTGCACGCGCGCGCACGTGCATGCATGTGCGAGCAAAATGACCTTCGTTCCGAACACCTACACAACATGCCTATTAACCCTAAAAAGGTTTCATGTCAATCGGATGAGTGGTTCTATGAGAACACTCTCGGACAAAAAAGTACCGGAGAAGAAAGTAGAAAAAAAGAATAATAATAATAATAATAATAACTAGACGAGCTTGTTGCAAAGCAACAAATAAGTCTTCCGTCTAAATTTCAAGGAGATGAGATCGAGATCGAGAGACATCTATGGTCATTTGAGCAAGAATGAGCCATTTACCATTACTTCCGGTGTGACCGGAAGTGACGTCATTTTGACGGCTTTTGATGATCTCCTTAGCTGCTACTTGTCATTTTGAACAACTTTGCTTCTATGATAGTATACAAATTCTCAATACTTTTTGAGATATCAGGAAAACACTTTTGGCCCCTCTAGCTCCCCAATTTTAAGGGCCAGCCCCTTATTGTTGATATCCTTTGAAAGATCGTAACATTCTACACAACTTTTGTTCTATATGTTTTAACAAAATATTTACAGGTAAAAAGATATTGTAGAAAAGGTGTTAGAAATTTTAAAAATCCCGATAGGACATTTTTCGGGCCATAGCGAGCGCCGACGTGCGGCACTTCCGGGGAAAGAGAAATGCGTATGTCACATCTACACATAATGCTCTAGCATCGCTGAAAAATTTCATGCTTCTACCTGGAAGCGCTTTTGAGGAAACTGCCGGACAAAGTGACCCTCCGAAAATCATTAAAACGCGGAAAGCTCGGAACCGGAAGTGACGTCTTCAAAACAAAAAAAATATATATCTAGATTTTTTGATGTTCTATCAGACCTGTAAGTTTCATGAAAATCGAGCGAGCCGTTTCCGAGAACTCGCGTGCACAAAATCGTTAAGAAAAAAAAACAATAATAATAATAATAAAAATAGTGGAAAAGAAACCTAAGAATAACAAGAAGGTCTTCCGCTGAAGACGGAAGACCTTAATAATAACTAGAGCAAAGCTCGTTGCAAAGCAACGAGTGGGTCTTCCTTCTCAGCGATTAGCTTGTAAGTTGATGTAATAAACGGATAATTATTTGTTTAATTTCCACCTAAAGGTTACATGTTTCTGTTTAGATTGTCAACTTTGCTAACATTCTCTCTCTTCTTTGACCTAAATATCAAGAGACCTCATCTCTTGAATTCTGAATCTAGAGTGAGCATGAGGATATATAATCCAACTGCAATCTCTCCAAGAGTACTCTTGAAATTGTATCCACAACACTTATACTCCCAGACCCTCATTTCTTGAACTTTGACTTCTGATTTTTAATTTCTAGACTTTTCTCTTCTATTTATCTAGTAGCATCTTTGATGGAATCATGTTAGTTAAATGTGACATACTACAGAATCATCAGTGTTTTGCTATATCACTGTCATCATAATTGCTTGAAAAAACATTTACACAGCATAACTGTAAGAAGAATAGCCTTTTTAAAAAATATAAGAATTTCATTTTTGGTAACCATGGCAATATCATTCATCAAAATAAGAAAAAAAAATAAAGACAATTATGTATCTCAGTGTAGTCCACTTGCATGCAAAGTTATATTAAAATCAGACCAAACTGTTGGAAGAGTAGTGTTTTGAAAGTATTTCACAGAAATTTCTATTTTTGGTAACCATGGTATCATCGTTAATTGAAATAAAAAAGATAAAAAGAATTATGTAACTTAGAGTGGTCTATTTGTAATCGAAGTCATATTGAAATCAGACCAATTTCTTGAAACAAGAGGCCCATGGGCCACATCGCTCACCTGAGCACATTGGCTAGGAAAAAGCATAAATTACTTAAGTATTGAAAAGTTTAAAGGGCGGGGGGCTTGGATTTTGAACTACCTAAGGATGCTTTCATATCAATATAACAAATGGCTTTGCTGTTCTTGAGCAGAAGATTTTAAAGATTTTTTCCCTATATATTCCTTTGTTAAAAATTTGATCCCCCATTGTGGAACCTCCCTACCCCCCCCCCCCCCATCATTTGAACAAACGTGAATCTACACTACCTGAGGATGCTTCCATATCAATATGACAAAACATGACTTTGCTGTTCTTGAGAAGAAGAGTTTTAAAATTTTTTTCCTATACATTCCTATGTAAAACTTTGACCCCCCATTGTGGCCCCACCCTAACCCTGGGGGTCATGATTTGTTAAATCTACACTATCTGAGAATGCTTCCATATCAATATGACTTAACAAGGCTTTGCTGTTCATGAGAAGAAGATTTTTCAAGTTTTTTTTCTGTATATTCCTATGTAAAACTTTGATCGCCCATTGTGGCCCCACCCTACCCCCGGGGGTCATGATTTTAAACATACTTGAATCTGTACTACCTGAGGATAAATCCACATCAATATGACTAATTGTGACTATGTTGTTCTTGAGAAGAAGATTTTTCAAGATTTTTTTCTATATATTCCTATGTAAAACTTTGATCCCCCAATGTGGCCCCACCCTACCCGGGGATCATGATTTGAACAAATTTGAATCTACACTACATGTACCTGAGGATTATTCCATATCAATATGACTAATCGTGGCTTAGTTGTTCTTGAGGAGAAGATTTTTAAAGATTTATTCCTATATATTCCTATGTAAAACTTTGATCCCCCATTGTGGCCCCACCCTACCCCCAGGGTGTCATGATTTGAACAAACTTAAATTTACACTATGTAATGAAGATCTCGCATAAGTTTCAACTTTTACAGACCCGTGATTCTTGAGAAGAAGATTTTTAAAAGATACCACCAAATTTTCACTAATTCTTAATTATCTCCCCTTGAAAGAGGGTGTGGCCCTTCATTTGAACAAACTTGAATCCCTTTTACCCAAGGATGCTTTGTGGCAAGTTTGGTTGAAATTGGCCCAGTGGTTCTGGAGAAGAAGTAGAAAATGTGAAAAGTTTACAGACGGACAGACAGACAGACAGACAGACGGACAGACAGACAGACGGACAGACGGACGACGGACAAAATGTGATCAGAAAAGCTCACTTGAGCCTTCAGCCCAGGTGAGCTAATAAAAAACTGCACTGTTGTAGTGCAAAAAGATTAATGATATTTTACATGTTGCTACAATCATGAAAGGTCATGTTGCAAAATTTTGAATTAAATTAGAGGGGTTATGACTGTTTTATCGCTAATTATAGATGACCAATGCAAAAAAAAAAAAAAAAAAAAGTCGAGAATTGCAACATCATTGAAAGTCTTGGAGAGCACCGAGCTATTAAAAAAAATATTTATTCAGACAAGAAAATACCCCAGAGAGACTGAAATGTTTTTAGATGCTTCAGGGATTGCCTTTACATATCTAGGACAAAAGTATTCAAATAGTAGTAGCTTTGTTAATAGAAGGATTGACATTTTTGATGACCCAGTCTATGCAATATCTCAGTACACCGCTTATCGCATGGATATTGTGCCTATGGATTTTGCATTGTTTCCATACCTTTTGCTTTACTGCGCAGACATAAATTTTAAGATCTCACTAATATTTGATATGCAACAAAAGAAACAAGAGGTCCAAGGGCCTTGAATCGCTCTTCTGATAAACTGTCCAACCTATCACTTTTATTTGAAGCCTCTAAGTATCCTGTATACTTAGATAAACCCTTGAAATTCCAATTTACACTCTGAGAACCCAAGATGATTCTAAGCCAATTAGTACCTGAGAGTTGGTCATGGTGACCTACTTATCATTTGTCATTCTCTGAGGACCCATCAACTAAGTTTGATGATTCTAAGCCAATTAATACCTAAAATACTTTTTAAAATTATAACCATAAAATTTTATAAGCAGGTCAAAGTGACCTACTTTTCAGTTGTTGTACTCCAAGGACCCAAGATGCATCAACTGACAAAGTTTGATGATTCTAAGCCAATAAGTACCCAAAATATTTAATTAAAGCCATAAATTTTCAAAAGTAGGTCAAAGTGACCTACTTTTCAGTTGTTGTACTCCGAGGACCCAAGATGCATCAACTGACAAAGTTTGATGATTCTAAGCCGATTAGTACCT